GATTTATCTATACAAGTCTATAAACTTCTTGAAGTACACATTCAAAAATTCAATTATATCATATATTTGTGAATATTCACTCAACTGCTGTCAGAAATACACATCTCACATATCTAACAATCAGAAGGACAAAGAAAAATTAGAAGCATTATGTATGTATAACTCATTAAAACATCTCTAGAGATCTAATGTATATCCAGGAGGAAACATAAAGGAGCACGGTAGTAAACTGATTTCTGTATGAAAAAGGAAACTTATTCCAGTAAGTAAATTTAATGTGGCCACAAAAGTTGAATCACTCCAAAGTTTTGTTGCATGCATGGCACGCTAAGCAAAAACCAGGCTGACATTAAGAACATTTACATACTTAACAGCAGTGTTTGGCTGATTCATCAACAATTACAAAATACTTTGAATTTGCAAAACCATCAGATTGTATATTTATTTGAAATCCAATTTTTAAAAAATCATTTCCAACTGCAGAAAAACCCCAATAGCTGATTATTTTTTAAGAATAAAGGGCATCTTCGCTGGACTGCAAAACTTTATGCTACAGCAAACCACAAAATAAGAGTTATTAGCTTATCATAATTTCAGACAGGTTTTAAAGTAAGGGGGTAATCCACTGTGGATCACTGAAGGAAGTGTGACAAAGACTGTGAAATGAGCAGATGGATTTTATGTTAAACAAATTAGGCTCACTACCACGAAAGTAACAAGGATTTCTCAGTTTCCAACTGCTGTGGGTTAACTTTCATTTATGACTCCTTCATTCTGCTTGTTAACTTTTTTAAACTGCCATTAAAATCACTGCTCAAAGGAAAAACAGCATTTATTGTTTGCAGTTACAGGCTATCATCTCCATTTTCTATGTTAATGACAGAGTATACAAAAGGGATAATGATAACAGTATGTTTGATTGCTTAGTCTCCAGACTATGTGTTATCTTCACCTCAAACTAATTTTTGGCAGAAAACAGGGTTTTGAAACAGGGTTTGAGAGATACCTTTGTGCTGTGAACACAGCAAAGGCAATCCTTGCCAAGCTGTACACAATATAAATGTTGAGTTGCTTGCAGCATCTCTTCTGTGAATCAACATAATCTTAAAAATATGGGCAAAATCACATGTGAAATTATAGGACAGGAAAAATCTCATAATTTTATGTTTTACCACAGAAGCCATCATAGAATTTTTTCTATGAAGAGTCAACTACACCAAACCAGGGATTCATAAACAATGAAAATATGAGTATAGAATACTGCAGCTATCCTATATCTGAGTGCTTGCATTAGTAAGGGAAATCATTACACCAGACACTGCCCAATATAATTATGCAGCTATCCACTGAAATATTCAATCAGATTTTCCTGTATACTGTATATCATTAACAGGCAACTAAATTCTTACTAATGTATAGTAGAGCATAGACCCAGAAAGAACATGGACTGTGGTTCAGCTTCTCAGAGTGAACTGTGAGACCCAGATCTAAGAAATATGGGGAGGGCAAACCCCAAACAACCCAAACCCCACAAAAAACCCTGCTCAGATTTGAAAATGATAACTAACATTTGTCCCCACAACAGACATTTTTGGTATTCAGTTTTCTGAGTAGCACTTTTAGCCTCAAGGAAATAGAAATCCAGCTCTCTCAAGAATTAATGTATCACAGAAGCAGTAGGTTCTTTGCATCTTCAACAACATTCTGCCCTCTGAAGACTACTATTAATTCTTCTGATTTCCCTTCATCTTTTCTTGTTATATTCAATTCATACTTTTTAAAGTAATGTCAGAAGAAAAAAAAAATCAATCAACAGAAAATAGTGAAAAACCACAAACAAAACAAAAAAACCCCCAAGCCCACCCATGTGCTTAAAATATGTTCAAAACACACTTTTTGCTGATTGAGAAAATGTTTCAGTGAGTGTTTGAGCTCTCCTATATAGCTAAGCAGAAATCCTGGGTAAATTTCTCAGAAATGTCAGTAAGATAGACCCATAGGACAGATTTTTCAAGCACCCAGTTCTCACATGTCTGATTTCCCTAGCAAAACCTACCACACAGCACTAAGCGCGTAAGCTGCAGTGGGACATTTGGGAGCATGTTGCTGAAAATGGGATTATCAAGTGCTTGGAAGCAGATCTTGAGCTACAGAAATAAAGGTAATGGTAAATGTAGAGAACTGGCTGTGAGTTAACTCCTTTTCCCTCTTAGGATGAGATGACTAGATGTTTATGGATATAAAAGAAATGTCCACTTCTAGTTCAATCACACAACTCAAGGGTCCTTGAATAACTGCAGAAACATTTGAACAACTTTATAGAGAAACAGATGTCAGTGAACTCTCTGACTGAAATCTCATTCTAGGTGAATTGCGTAGATTGCATGTTAGATTACACCTAAAATAGATGTGTTTCTAGTTCTCATTTCCTCTTGTCCTGCAGTGTGACTAGGTGTCCAAGGTGACTGATGGTGTCCTCGTTTGTGTCAGCAATAGTGTGGCTAGCAGGACTAGGGCTGGGATTTTCCCTGCCCCTGTTACTGGAAAGGCTGCACCTCAAATCCCGTGTTCTGTTTTAGGCCACTCATGAGAAGACACTGAGGTATGTTCAGAGAAGGGCAAAGAAGCTGGTGAAGGGTCTGGAGCACAAGTCTTTTTAAGGAGTGGCTGAGGGAGCTGGGATTGTTTAGACTGGAGAAAAGGCTCACTATACAACGCCCTGAAATGAGGTTGTAGCAAGCTGGGTGTCACTTGCTCTCTCCTCTCAGCCACAGGACAAGAGGACACAGCTTCAAGCTAAGCCAGGGGAGGTTCAGGTTGGACCTCAGGAAGAATTTTCTCATGGATGAAGTTGTCAAGCATTGGAGCAGGCTGCCCAGGGAGGTGGTAGAGTCATCCATCCCACAGGTGTTCAAGAAATGACTGGATGCAGCACATAATGCTATGGTTTAGTTTACACGTAATATTCAGTCAGAGGTTGGACTAGATCATCTTGGAGGGCTTTTTTAACTGAAGTGGTTCTGTCCATGAATTTCTGTGCCATAACTCACCTGCATTCTGGTGTTTGTCAGGTTCAACTCTGAGTTACTCCACCTTTCCCATTATGTAATGAAGTATGTCTGTCTGGCAGGACAGAATGAATCGGCTGAAGTCTTACATAAAGCTACATTCTCAAATTCCTTCTGTGCACTTGTGGTAGGAGAAAAAACCCAAAATCCTTCAAAGAGACAGCAGAGTTGGAGTCAGTCCAGATTATCCAGTGAAGTGATTTAAGGGGTAAACACTTTATCAGTAGTGCGAAATCAGAAGTCTGTACTCCTCCTTAGCCAAAAAACTTCAAAATCCACCTTTCTTAATTAATAGTATGGTGGAATTTCCCCATCAACTCAAAATTGCACCAATAAAATAGAAAATATGAAAGACTATTTTAACTAGACTACATAATCCCTTGGGATCCTAAGTGGGCCAGCCATTCCACAAAACTACAAACAAACAAAAAACTTTATCAGGAATTAAACACGAAACAAAAAATCAGTTTGTCAATCTGAGTTAAAGTTACTTGAGTAACTTAGAAGCTTCTGAAATTCTACTTGTATCACACCAATGCAAAAATGTGACCCAAAAATTATGGTCAATCATTCATACATAGATTCTACATTGATGTTTATATTAAAAAATAATGCTTGTTATAACAGCCTGTGAAAATGATGTTCATTTAGTGGTCTCTCTTTCCTTTAAAAGAACAAAAGCCTTTGAAATGCCAAATGAATTAGGAAGAACTAATGTAGATGAAAATTCTCTCTCAAGACACCAGTAGCTTGTAGGCTAACATGGGGAACTGCCATTGCTTGGAATTATAAATTGAAAAGAACATCTTACACACTGACAAATACATTGTGTGGAATGATATCATGACTTTCTGCACAACTGATTTATGAAGGGTTATACCAAGTGCACATATACAAAATATACATATTAAAGCTGACAAAGGATTTTGTTCAGTTGAATTGGTATCACCACAAATCCCCTCTTCATCAGTTATTGTTCGCATTGACATCCAAAATGTCTTTTGTAAGGACTCCCTACTTCTATCCAGAACTGGCATTTACCAGAGTGCCATTGAGACATCTCTGAATACTGAAGGCCACCTAGCACACAAAGACTGTCCCAAAAGGCGCTAACCAAAGGAATCTTTTAGGACTGTATTTAGGTTGACCTCCCACAAAAAACAGAATTACCTATACAATAGCTACTGCTGCACTTCTCTTCTCCACATGGTTTCCCCAGTGCCTTTTCTGTTACTGCTGACCTTGGTTAGTCTGTTTCTTCATTCAGTGAGCAATTATTTTATTTCCACCCACCACTTTACACAGGGCTATAAGATCTTACAGAAGTTTTAAGCTTCACAAGTTTTACATCTTTTAGGTGTTTGTGTAGACAGACATGCTAGAAGTTCAGCAAACCTCTCTTTTCATTAAAAATTACATCTGCAAGTAGAATATGCTTTACTCTCTTGACAAATCAAAAGACTCACGATTTTATAAACATTAAGTGAAATCTGAAACAACAAATGGAGAGAACTACTCATCCACAAGTATGGATGATGCATCCAGAAGCTTTCAGATGTATCCACTAATTTTCAGACCCAAGGCTTATAATAGGGGGGAAAAAAGGAATTAATTTCTTAATTACAATCAAGAAATGCATGGTACAAATATGATTAAATTCATGCATATAAATTTCTGATTCCATAACTGCTCTGACTCATTGTACATTCTAGAAGCCAAGAAAACAAGGTATTTTATGATTCTCCTGACACTATGATTTTGAACCTCCGGATTGACAAGGGTGACCTTGCTAGCAAGCCCTATGCCACAACATATAGCAGACCAATTACACTTGTTGGGTCTTTTTTAATTGATATAGATGTGTAAGAATACTTGTATTCTTGGCTCCTGTGATGTTGACTTCAGAGAACAGCAAAATTTTACACCTATAAAGTAAAAGCCAAGGTGCTAGCAGTTTGGCAAAAATCCAAAAGATCCTAATTAAAGCAAATTTGCCAGTGCTGCTAAAGTCAATGATCACTGCCAGAACCAGATGTTCAGAGAAATTTCAATATGAAAAGTGTAAAAATCAAGTAATCTTGTAAATACTCTTGTTTTAAAACTTTCCCTTGTAAAAATGGCACAGCACTTCCCAGTATTTCAGTGTAGCAAATACAGTTAATTCTCTGACAAGCCTCATGATTCTGCTTTCTGCCCCACTACGTCTGAAAGCAACATGACCAGCATCTAAACTTGTCCGTCATTTTCATACAGATACAAATTAACAACTAAAAAATCAACAAAGAAATATATGGATACATATTAATACAATGCTATTTTTAAAATTCTCGGAGACCAGATTATCCTGGATGGGTAATATTTTACATTCTGGATGGAATGTACTATGTTAAGGCTATTACAGTTTTAGACACTATAATTTGGTTTCAGTAGAACGGTCATGTAAATCAAAAGGAAAACCTATGTCCCTTCAGACTAGAATCTTAGATAAAATTTGCCCCCACACGAAAAATTCTTTATCCAATCAACACACCTGTCAGTCAAGCTTGTTTCTTCCTAGCTACGTGTCTTCGTATCCCTGAAAGAGCAGGGATATAGGCCATCGTCAAATGCTAGGAAAATGAGAAAGCAGCTCTTCTTCTGTCTGCCAGTTTGTGTAATCTAAATTAATTGTTCAAAGATATCTTTCTGTTCATCTGTGCTCTCCATTAGCAACAGAAATTATAACCAAATTACAGAATGTAGGAAATGTACAGCTCCCACCAGTGCAACAGCAAAGTCTGTTGTCTAGCACACAGTGGTAGAACACATTAGTCTGAAAAAATAATAGTTAAATAAAGTGAACACATTCTCTCCTCATCCATTGCTCTTGAGTACACCAAGAAAACTTGAAGATGCATAGCTTTGGTAACTGGCTGCTTATCATGGCTCTTCACAGATGTCACACAGTGATGCAACAATGGAAAGGACTCACAGATTGCTCAGCATGAATACATAGAGCCTACAGGCCTGCATAACATAGGACACTCAGGAAAATTAATTCTAATTAATTTGTAGAGTGGATTAGTTAAAAATCAAAATATTCCTTTGTCATTATTCTCACAAGAAATTAAGAAGCGATTTTAATTTAGTTTAGGTTAATTCACTTCACTTGCTACCCTGCAAGTATTCAACATCTTTAAGAAATCCCCTGTAAACTCACACTTTTGGTAATTTAGTTAAATTTACCTGAGTATCTAAGTATAGACAAGATTTTAAAAAGGAAGTGGCCATTAACTACCACTTCTCTGTAACACATGAAGGATGCAACTTCTCTAATCACAGACATCCTCATATAACAAATAAAGGCTCTGATGTACTTAGTTGAAATGTAGCCTCACATGAATTCTGTTCAGCTGGGGGGGAAAAAGAACAGGGAAGACACCTCCTCTTCTAGAGAAATGACCAAATGTGTTATGATCAGGCACATATTACTGTATCTGCCAAAGAACATATACATGGGACATCAAAATAAACTGCACAGCTTTATGAAATGTTCAATTTTTATATTTACACTATAATTAGTACAAAACTGCCTTTAAGTTTTCTGTAGAACAAGACAATATCTACTGGACTTGATATCCTAGTATGTCAAATCAACTACTTTGAAGTATGATAAAGGAATCTAAGAACAGTTATAAAGAATAAGACACCATTTTCAAACTATACATAGTGTTTGCTCTTGCTTCTAAAAAGGTACTTATATCCCCAAAAGGTTTTTAATTTTAAATAAGCAGGGCAAGCAGGGAGGGGGCAAGGGGGAAGACTGGTTGTTGGTACTAAAGCCTTTACTGTAGTAAACTAAATATATTTACAATTTATACAAATGTTTGACCTTCAACAAAAATACAAAAACATATCACAAGATGCAAAACCAGGAAACAAGTTCATCTGAGACACTGCTGCTCTACCCAGGACAGAATGCAACTTGAACTGCAAGGAACAGAAAGGTATTTATCCCCCATATTCAGGCAATGAGAAAAAATTGCATGAGGTCACAAAAAGAAAAAATAAAAGGCTCCAACGTTCTTCAGTAGACTTGGCTTTTAAAAATTATGTCAAAAACCTAGGCTACATTTGTCCATCTTGCCTCTGTGTTCCGCCTGGTCCACGTAGCCAATACTTAGTTGCAGGACGTTGCCTTCTATTTTGAAAAATTGGAGTAGTTTCATGGCAAGGTCTGGAACCTCAACACTTTTGCTCCTTTCAAAAATTCAAAACCTTTCTACTTCTACTAACAATTTTGGCCCAGTTCAACCTCTAAAAGAATATCCCCATCATATTTTTCAGTAGATAACTTCATAGACTGTAGCTTTTTTGTCTCCAGAGCCAGTGACAATGTACTTATCATCCACAGAGATGTCACAGCTAAGCACTGATGAAGATTCTTTGGACTGGAAGAAAAATAGAAATATATTACATCATTAAAAAAAAGTCTGTTTACCATCATTCCATCATCTCATTTTAGGTAGATCACATATGTGAAGATATCTGAATCCACTCCTGGAACTCTGCATTTTTTTTTTCTCTTCATGAAAAGCAACATTATCCTCACCTGGAAGATACTGGCTCCATATGGAGTTCTCCATGCATTAAGAAGGTTATCTTTCCCAGTACTCACAAACCATTTACCTAGAATAAAAACCAGAAGGATTACAGAAATGTGAAAGAGACATGTGACAGGTTTTGGGTTTTCAATTCACATCAATGAAATCTGTTAACTAATTGCCCTTATAAAAGCTCTTACTACAAATCAACACAGTACTTTTGCTTACAATCAATGTGGATGCTCAGCACGTTTGCAGTGTGTTACATACTAGGAAATCCCTAAACTTCAAACAGAAATAGCTTTTTACACATGAATCAATCCTCACAGCAGCCTCTAGACAAACAGATGGCTGTTTGTAGATAAGTGCATTTGAATTCATAAAGCAGAGATATTTATGCATTACTTAAGAAACTGAGATGTAATAACTAATGACTATGAAATAAATAATCAGCAAAACATGAATTAAGAGCCCTGACCTCCAGTTCTATGTTCAGGGCAACTTACCACAGTAAGCAAATTTGAGTGACAATACACAGCTCTCATGAAGGTGCAGTTGATACTTGTCTGGTTTATTTACATGTAGCACTTCGACATTGCTGCTCTCCATTCCCACAGCTAGCCATTCACCAGTAGGACAATAACCAAGGGAAAATATCTGAAAATTATATCATATTTACACCTTTTAATTATTTTCCTATAGATAATTTTTCTGCAGTTAAGATTATGTGGGAAAGGGGGGGGGGAGGAGAGAGAGAGAGATAAGGGCAAATTTACATAGTTCAATAGCAAAACTGCAGTTCAAAATTTGAGTAACTAAATAACCCCTGTTTTTACACATTAACTTAGAAAAAGAATAGTGTCAGGCTGTCATTTTCTTCTGTAATCTAAGCACATACATAAGCTTCAAAATATTGTGTTGAGAGCAGTCAAAAGGAAGCGAGGGAACAATCTGCTACTTCTACTGGGCTCAGTCTTACCTTTGATCCTATGGGTTTCCTTCCCACCCCACATATTGCCACAAGCTGTAGGAAAATCCAGTTACCTGTGATGTGAAGTCATGCTGTTGTAGCTGTCTCCCTTCTCTCAAGTCCCAGGATCTGACAGTGTTATCCAAACCTCCTGTCCAGAGCTTGGTACCATCATTAGAAATGTCAATACAGCTGGCTCCATCTGTGTGGCCCTGGAATTGCCTGATAAAACAAACCAGATTGAATAATGATTTCCTGCCAGAGCTCAAGGTAAACACTTTGTGGTGTTAGTTTTGGACTCTGAACATGTGTCATCTGTTCTGTGTCTGACGATGAGCAAGAATCAGCCTCTCACTGAGCATTAAATACCAGTATTAAAAAAAAAAAAACATTTTCCAGGTGCTAGAGAAATGATTTGCATCATGGCTAGCTGAATAAAGTAAAATATTTCCTATCAGGTTTTGAAAAAAGAAAACAAAACAACAACCCCCCACAAAAAGCCTATACCCACTTGTGAGAATATTAAAGCCCAGTAACTACAGTTAAAAACCACTAAGGATAACTCAAATAAAATTGAAGCGGGTCAGAGAATAAAACCTCCAATTTCAGAAAACAGCTTCTGCATTTTTCTTTGGCTGCAGGTCAAGAAGATAAATAACAAGCAGATATACTAATAGAAAGGGATCCAGATAGAGATCCAGATAGTTAAACACAAGCATTGCTGAGTCACAAAGTTGCATTCTCTGTGGCAGGAGATTAGAAAAATCTGAACGGAGCAGTTTTATAACCTTCTCATTAGCAAATCTCAGCTTTCAGCAACCAGAAGGTCATCTCAACTTTTTCTTAATCCTTTGGCAAAAGCATTCTGGAGCTTCTGCATTTTTCATCAGCAATTAGCTTTAGCAAAGTCCTGTGCCTCAGTGCGAAAGGCGGAGGGCGGGTGGGGAAAAGACAACTAGCTTGTGAAGGAAGGGTATGAATCACCAAGAGCTGCCACAGAAAGGTCACACAGCATGTTTTGTTTAGTAGCTCTGGTCTCCAAATTCCATGTGCTATCAACCAGCAAGATCAGTGTGCAAGTGGTGGGAACACATACAGCAAACATTTAAAAGGCAAGACATTCACAGATGTGTATAGATGTTGCACAGTGCAACCTTACAGGGTCTAAGCATGCACATGAAAACTTTATGTAACTAAAATTGTATTTATTGACCTAAAGTTCAACAGAAAGAAAAAAATTGCATGCACATTAACATGACTCTCTGTATGTAATTTTCAGCTAATTGTGGATATACAGGAAGTTTAACTGAAACACAGCGGACTAAGCATATTCTTTAGTTTTTGTGTTCAGAACTCTTCTCAAAATATTGTAAGCCATCACTGCTTTGATAAGCCTAAACTAAATTTATCTTATAGTAAGCCCCACTGCTTTCCTAAAGAACTGAGAGGATTAGTTCTTTAGGAAAAATAGTAAGATTAATTGTAAGATTAATTTTACTACTTATCCTTGCTAAATAGGAATTGAAAATACTCTTTTTCTACTTAACAAGGCCTAAGACAAAGGAAAAGAGCAAATCTCAGACCTTCCCTAGAAGGCATGTTCAGTCCATACCAGTAACAAACCAGCAAGAACGCTGCTTGTAGAAACCTGCAGACCAATCAAATAACAGGGAGGATCTGCAGGAGCTTCTACATTGACTACAGCAGGTTATGGACAAACCCTAAAAGATATCTTCCGAGACTAGGCCGAAACTACCAAAACTAGTTTCTGCCTGACTTGGGTGTAAACCACTCCCCTGAATAAGAGACACTATTTACTTTGCTGTTATAAACCCTATTCAGGGAGATAAATATTTATGTAGCTGTCCAAAGAGTAACTTCTATTAAAATTTTCTGTAAACAACGACTCACCTGACCAATGTCTGGTTATGCAGATCCCACACTGCAATGTTCCCATCACTGCAGCAGGAAAAGCACACCTTGGAGTCAGGGCTGATAGCCAGAGCATAGCAGGCAGGTGCTGAGGATGTCAGCTCTGCTTTTATGCGAGGAGTTGGAGCTGCCAGGTCCCATATGGATAATGTGCTGGCCTCCCCACCAACGATGAGGGTGCATCCATCGGGCAGCAATTTACAGGAGCGGATGTAGTTATCTCTGTTCTGTACAACACAAATCACCTCAGTTATGTGCCTGCCAGTAATGACCACTAACATAATTCTGACTGCATCAAAGTTTCAAGCAGTGTGGTACTTTTTCCATTACCAAAGTACTGAAGAGAAGCCAGCAGATCTTAAAAGGTTGGAAACATCTACTTCTCATCACTAATTAGAAACTGCAGCTGCAGAAATTAAAACTGCAGACTCCTGTTGCCACAGTCTACTCTGTTTCAAACGTGACAAATGGCAAGTTTTCTATCTCATTACACAAAAATAGAGCCAAAGTAAGCTTGCTTTTCTGCAAATGTACTCCATCAGTGAAGGTCACCAACAATAGAAATATTAAAGCAAATGACCTTTCATTTGGCATTTAACAGCCCTATATGAAAATGTCGTTCTAGTCTCATGCGCTTCAGGTTTTTGAATTTTTCTTTCAAACACTATTTTTCATTCACAGTGTTAAAGTTGAAAGATTAAGGATTCCTGTATTGGTCCTGTATTTATGTTGGTCCTTTGTTGTTCAACATTATTCTTATTGTACATATTGATCTCTCCTTCATGATGTTATTATTGATTTGAGAGGTACTGTGGGTGAGTTAGTGACAGAAGACATTTCTACCTTCCCTTATTACAGCCTTGCTTGACTGGCAACAGTTTTTTTACAAAACTGATAATAAAGATCTGTAACTTAGGACAGAAAAAAACACTGCAAGAATTAGTTAACAGTATTCCTACTATGATATATTTTTTTAATTTGCAGCAAAGAAGCAGGAAGTAGGGCAGTGAAAATGTTGACTTTAATCAGTCATTACTGCTCCCCGACTTAAATGAAGGCTCTTCATCCAGAGAGATATACATGCCACAGAACAGAATACCTATTCAACTTCACTATTACTACTCAGCAATTACAAAATGATAGCAGTAAAGAAACGATAAAAGGTAAAAAAATCCACCACACATAAAATCTACACTGAAGTTAGAATTTTCATTCACAATACATATTGCTGTGCTTGACAGCATTGTCTTCTCAGTTAACACTGCACAGACCTTTATGCTGCCTCTAGTGAGAAACATCTCTTGTTGAGCCATTACTTTTTTTGAGTTAACTTTTCAGCTACCTATATACTATTGCACCCAGTCCCTTTTGTACCCTGCACATGTGAAAATAACCAGCCTGTACGTATAACTAGTGGATCGTGAACAAAAATCATAGCAAAACTTTAAGTGACCTTTGGTACTGTGTCTCATTATTCCAGTAAGTGGCTGCTATCATCTTACAGAAATGAGGTTTTTGTTCCTTGTGTTTGTGAAAGACCTAGGAAAATTCTCTGCAGCCCTGCATAAGACAAGCTATATTCCTTTTAAACTCATGCACAAAAATCATCAGTATAACTAGAAAGGGAAAAAAATACTGTGTTTTATTCAAAACATGACATACACATTCTATTCAGAAATCCGAGCTAATCTGTTATTTGACCCTTAGTGATAATTATCACTAAACAAACCAGCACTATTCTCCATGACACTGTTATGTATTCAAAAAAGAAAAAGGACATCAGGAAACAGATCTGCTATTTCCTTCTAATATGAACAAAATCCAAACAAGGACTTTTTTTTTGAGTCTCTGAGGAGAAGCTACCCTTGTGCATAAATTCCTGTTCACCTACCAGGCAGTCCAGCTGAGAGACGGGGCTCTTGTTGCCAGGCTGGCTGATGTCCCAAACCTTGACACACCCCTTCCCACCCGTGTACACATGTCTCGTGGGGTTGCTGATGGTAACTGCACACACAACTTCCCCGTGGTTCAGGGTGTTGATCTGACGGGCATGGCGAGGGATTCCTGGACCGATGAGGGCATCAGGAGGGAAAGGAACTGGCTGCATCTGACCATCTGCAGTAACGTGAAAGGAGTAGGCTCTTTTGGGGAAGGGAAAGAGAGAAGACAAAACAGTTTAAAAAAATCGGCCATTACAGAACTACAATGCAAGAAAAACACAGTATTTTTCATTTTAGTTCTTTGCCAATCATCTCGCAAAAATCTACTGTAGCAAAGAGCTCCAGTGCCAAGTAATGCAGGCAGATGAAACCTCAGATGGAGACAAAGAGTCACAATAGAAATTTTCAGTTTGACTCAGCTGAAATATGTGTGTCATGGGAAAGCAGGTTAAATTCCACCCTTAACTCTACAGGCCAAGGTCATGGCTGCTATCCCTCAGCGACTTGGATAATCGCAAGACCTTTCAGCCCCCGGTTTCCAGCTAGCTGTTGCAAGTCTCATCAACACAAATACTACAGCAGCAGTGCCTCACCAGGCACTACTCATCCTTCCATGAGGCTTGCACCTGTTGCCTTGTGGCACCACAAAACAAAGTTTTGCTTGATTCCTGCACCTCATTTGTAACATCACCACTGCCTGTGCTCATATACTCCTCTTTCCAGCTGGTAAGTAGTGCTTTAGAAAACAGAAACACAGAAAATAGAAACACAGAGTGGCTGCACACAGATTTCAACAGAAAGCTGATATCATCTTCTCAAAATTATGTTTTCTTGAATACATACATTGAAAAACCTGAAAGGCTCAGTTTTCCAGGTACTTTTGGCACTTCAGAAATACCTTTTATCTGTATTCATTGCATGATTTCCAGTTTGTGGAAACTGAAGGTTGAGGAAGTGATGTTCTAGCACTGAATAAAAACACTCCTCAGGGAAAGTACATGAAATTATTTTTTCATGGTCACTGAAAAGTAAGTCAGCTCTGCTCAAGGGCAAGGGCACAAATCCCAACTAATAAAGGTTTCAGGTGCGGGGGGGGGGGGGGGGGGGGTTCTTTGTTTGTTTATTTTAACTACTAATGAAAATGCTACTGTAAAATGCTGGCTTTTGCTATACTAGTGAGCTCCTTTTCTGTTACTTTTGTTGTAAGTGCATCCATCATGCTTTTGATGCTGTTGTTACATCAACAACATCCTTCAAGAGGCCGAAGTGGATAAAAAACGCTGAGAGATAAGTATTCTTTTTTTGGTTTTTCCACTAATAAGATGCCATCGCCATACTGAAACATTTATTTTTCTAATATATTCTTCTGTTCAGAACTTCCTTTTATTTTCCAAATCTACTTTCTTCCTCGGAAATCTTCAATCACTGTAGTTCAACTATCCATTTTCCAAGAACCCAACAATAGTTATTTCTATTAAATCTTCAGTCCTGAATAATAAGCTAGTATTTTCAAGGCATTTTTTTACATGTTCCCAAGTATCACATAGTTTGAAATGAAGGAACAAGCAAGAGGCCTGGTTCTGGAACAGACATCACAAAGCAACTGAATCTGCTCTGCTTCTGGGCATAAGATATTCCCTTGAAAAACCATGAGGAGAGATGAAAGAACTCCATAGCTCTTTCACAGAGAAACTAAGACTGGAAACAGTCAATCTATGCAATATCTCAAGTCTTTTCTTAAGTGAAGGGCAAAAAATGGTTAACAGTAACTGCTCTTAAACAGAGGAGAAATGAATAGTAAACATGCATGCAATTCCTGTATTCATTCATGTTTCATGGTTGGGCATATAAGCAGAGAGCTTAGTCAGAGAGTACACAGAAATAGAGAACGAGCAAGTGCAAAAGATGACATCTTTTTTGGCACAGAAATGACAGGAATAGGAAATGTAAGGTAAGAAAGGAAGTGCAGTGTTCACTCCCTTACATGTACACAAAGCACACAGTATATCAAATGTATTTTGTCCCGTGGGAACCTTTTTGTCTTTTGCTATGAAGAATTACAGTAATGATAAAGGCTTAACTAGAAACCCATTCCTTTCTGTGAAGAAGAAGAGAAACAAGATTGTTGGTCCTACAAATCCCCCTTTGAATCCCAAAGTAGGTATTCACTAAACAGATCAGACATGGGGCAGGAGAGAAAGCAGAACAGGAGTAGCAACAAGGCTGCTTGAGGCTGAACTGTGCGGGTTCATCTACAGAATCCAACAAAAGAGTCACAGCATTAAGACACTGAAAAGCTTTGCCCCATCCTGGGCGCCAGATCAAAGTCAGTTGCAGAGTATTTGTTAGCAGTAAGAGTACACAGAACCATATAACTTTGAAGTTTCAGCCCCTCCTTGCTTTTATCATGGACTGAAGCAAAACAATTAAGCACGTATTAGGCAATTTTTTCCAGCATGTCCAAGATTAATAATCTACTTGTCCATTATTTTTTTTAATTTGAAGGTTACAGCTTAAATGTTCTGTTCAATTCAAACTACCTAAATAATTAGTGTTTTGAAATGCTTAGATGCATACACAGAGCTCCTCAGTTCTTGCTGAGATGGGGTGTGAGAAAAATAATAGAAACATTTTTCAAGTACTTCCTGTTTACTGTAGAACTGTAGTGACTCTTATGCTTTGAAACATCAGAGGCCTACCTACTGTATTTTTAAATCATGTAGAATTTTACCACTATGTCTACGTTTAAAGAGGGGCTATACTAATCATAGAAGCAGTCCCTCTTTTTTAGCATTTGCTTAGTTTGATGGCCTAACAACCAGACCAGTTTCTTACAAGCCAAGACAGCTTTTTCTACAGTGCAACTTATCTGCAATCCACTGTAGAAAGAAATGGCAACACTTTGCCAAATCCCTCTGCCAAGACAAGCACACAAAGCAGTAAATGTTCCTGTTTGCTTTGAGATATGTCACATGTAATGCTGACATCACCACTGCCAGCATACCTACGGTATGGTAGTCTAGTGACTCGTCTCTGCTAGGTATTATGGTATAACTTTTGTTACACAATACCTTTTAACCTTGAAAAGGCTTGCATGGTTTGCCAGACTGACACTCCAGACACTCCTGGACAAGGAAAAGTGTCTGTGTCCAGAAGAACACAGGACCGGAGACAGCAGGAGTGCAAAGGATTATTTGCAGCTCAAACGCTGCAGTCTTTGCCTTCCTCTTCATCATGAAAGAGATCCTGCTGCTTCTGAGGAGGACTGTACTTACAGGTCCACACCTACAGAAGATTCAATTTTTAGTGCGCTAGACATATTCACAGGCCTCAATTCTCAAAAATTGCAAGAATTTTCATTATCTAACCTCATAGGAGTCAACAACTAGCAAAATCTGGCAAATTCTTGAGTTCTCTAAAGGTCAGGACTTAACAGGCACCACTTGACCACCCATTTTTCTTTTAGAACTGATCATGTATGCCTGCTGTTTAGTCTCAAGACTAGCACAGTTTTCTGTCTCGCTCAGAACATTCTGCCTGTATGAAAGATGGCTATCCTATCATTGATTCCATGATTATCCCTCTTTGGTCAAAGGAGAGTCCTTCCGTGTGTTGGGCTAACAACAAACAAAGAAAATTATCTTCTAAAAATGCAATTAAAATATGCAATATAAAAATAAGCTAAGTACATATCAAGTAATACATATTAACAGAATATTACAACAAGAACAATTATAAGACAAATGTCTGTGCATTTTGCTTCGAACAGTTCTGAGAAATAGTATACTTATATTATTTCTGAATAATGGAAATAATCTTCTGAATTACTGCATCCAGGGACTTCTCTCGCGTGTGTCAAAGCAGTACTTAGAACCCTCAGAATTCCTATGCCCAGCAACATGGTTAAGTGATACTAATACAAACCAGTTTCTCAGCTTATTTCTCAAATTTCCAAATAAGTATACAGCAAGTAAGTATCATCTGACATGCTGAGGAGGGTTCAGGATAATTAATTCACTCCCCAAAAATATAGGAAATTAACTAAACTATCTGCCAGCTACTCTAAGTATTCAGATTGATGTACAAATGCACACAATTTCTGCCTACTAAAGTAAGGTCTTAAAAAAAAAAAAAATCCCTCAAAAACTTCCACTTCATCCCTTCAATTCAAGCAGACTTCTTTAACCAGCAGAACAGTACCACCCACAGCAAAATAAGAAAGCAAAAAGTTCCTTCCATTCACAACTGCATTTTGCTTTCAGCTTTTCTTTGCACTCCAGCTCATTTTTAATTGTAGTTATCACAAAAAAAACATGAATATCTGAGTGTGTTGTTTCATCATATAGAACAAAATGCCAAGAAACAAGGATAGATATGTTTGTACAGAAATGACTGAATTTTCATCTTCAAACATGTCACCAAATGATTTTATTTAGAGATAAATGGCAGGATGCACACAGCCCTTAATCTCCTATAATACAGTAAAATTAGCTGTCCTTTACAATATCTCTCATTGTACATTCACTGTAGAAGTATGAAGATCTGAAGAACAGAACTGAAATCAAGGAATTCCAAAAGAGTATAGTATACCTCTCCACAAACACAGTGAAAAGTCAACTTATAAGTAGAAGCAGGAAGATTTAACATTTACTACGTAAAGTTTTCCTTTCCTACTAGAATTAGAAACATATATTTTCAGCTACTTTCACTGCCCAGGAAAACACGCTGAGAAATACATTTGTTCTCAGTACTAACATTAATTCAGAATTTTATACACCAAGGAAGCAGTACTGTGGACATAAATCTTACCAGTAATCTTGAAACTCTGTATTTAGTCCAAAATCCAGCTATTAGAAGGCATGGTTCACATAAACCATAAGAATGTTATTTCAGCAGCTATAGAACACTAAAAGCTAAGTACTTGTTAGAAAGACTATGCAAAGAAAGAAAAAATTAGAGCAACACACCAAAAACTTACAGTCCAGGGCATATTTAAAAGCATCAGAACAAAAGCATTCAGGACTCAGACACCACATGTTCATGTCCAAGTGGGTTTTTAACAGGCTACACATTTTTCTAACAAGAAGATCAATAACAGACCTCAGAATATGCAAGGCTTACAAAAACCTGGGTGCTATCAGAAGTGTCTGTCCTTTAGAAAGAAGGGAGCATAATTTTCTCTTGGGTCAAAAAACAGTATAATCATAACCATTGATAAAAAATGTGCAGCCTAAAGCATACACATATGAGTGGGGATTCAATAGTTCAATTCAAAAATTCTCTGTAGCACCTGCAACAAGACTCATTAAAACTTCACATCTAATAAAACAAATTCAATGCATCAGCATATCGGCAATCAAGAAAAAGGCTGACTTTGAAAATAAACAAAGCATACTCCACCAGTTTGCATGATTTTTTATTTCTGCTCTCTACAGAAACTACAGGAGAAAAACCTGAAGTAGGTGAGATACTTGCAAATGCTGCAGGTAGCAGACAGCATCTAGCCAATAAAGACTAGAACATGAGATTGTTTTATAGATGTCAATGGAAAGACAATTCCACAAGTTTATAAAAATTTTAGACTTGCTTCACTAAGATAAGCAAAGAAGTAATTTTAGAAGAAATGTACAAGTAACATGACCACAAAAACCCCCAAAAACTGCAGAACACATTAAATGAAGTGGTGACTAGGGCATATGTATCGAAGCAGGCAATATATGAAGCAGTGTGAATAAAGTGGTAAAAACATTTAAAAAACCCCAAGCAACTCCCACAGTTTCCCCCCACTCCTGATTAATTCAGCTAAATTACCAGGATACAAAGTAGAGCAGTATACATATTCTGTCCTTGAACAGTGTAACAACTAGAACTCAGCCACAGAAAACTTCTGTGAACAAAATTCCTGAACAAAAATAGGTTTCACTAGATTACAATATAAAATATTGCAAGGCAATGAAATATGTTATTGAAAGCTTATAAACAAACTTGTTTAGAAGTAAAAACATAGAGCCACTCAATTATGTGATTTTCAAAAGCATTTAATTTAAGTATGCCAAATTGTATGACAGTCAGCAAGACTATGTCTGAGTTTTGAGTACAAAGCCTGATCCTTACTGCACTAAATTTAAATACACCACATTTGATATACAACACCAACTCATTGAGCCTTCACTTCACTAATCTTGTCAACACACCACCAGCTCTAAGTACAACCAAGATTTAACAGGTTTCTCACACTGTCAACAGATAGCTAAGCCTGTTCCCAGAAGCATGGTGGATAACCACAAAAACACATTCAGGATGGCTTTCCAAACCAAGTCTGCTGCTTCCCTATTGTTATAGGAAAAAAATCAGAAGAAAACATACTTTTTTTTGGCCTGTAATCTGGTATTCTTTCAAGGATGTTTGCAAGACTGACATTAGAAGGTATCACTAGTCCAAAATCAAAGCAAACAGAAATGCATGAGTATGTAGTTTTCACCACAGCCTGTCAGACAACTTGGCATCCTAAAAGTAATAGTTTCTAAATGTTTCCTGAAACTGCAAAAGGAAAAATTAAATATAGATTGGCAAATAGGCATTATGAAACATTAACATCCTGCACAGAAAGTCCAATGTGTTAAATAAGTTTCAAAATTATGTAAGCAGCTAGGTAGAGAAAAACTACTCTAATTGCAAACTCCTGTTGAATGAGAAATCAGGACTGACTGTCAAGTGTGAACAAAGAACAGGTTCCAACAGAGTGTTGAAAAAACTGTTAGGAGTGCTCTCTGCCTCATTCTCTCCAGAAAAACAGCTGAATTAAATTTGCTCTGTTAGTACCCACATAGACTACCCGTCCAGAAATACGTAAACATTAATTGTGTATTTTCAGAGGTCATACATGCTCATGAGTCTACTGCACTGGTGAAGTTCAGGGTCAATGGTCTACCAAAGCCAAATTACTGAAACATTTCATGTATGCTGCTGAACTTATTTTATTGAGACACTAATAAGTCGCAGCATCACAGAACCATTTTATTTAATAACTGCTTCACCAATAACCAAAACTTTTAAATAAAAATACTTATTGTGGAACCTCTTCTACATCTATGCACCAGCTGCTCCACAACTGCTTCATCATCCTTTTGCTCTCCAGCTGCACTCACACAAAAGTTCTAAATAGCTTGCTCCATTATGCAAAGTGTGTGTAATCTGTTGCTAAAGTAAATGCTCCAGATACCTCCTGTCATCAGTTGCAGACTCCCATGCCTGATAAAACAAGTGCCAGACAAGGAGTCTGCAAGTTTGCAATACACATTTATCCTGATGTAGTGCAAATTTTAGTTTCAACATATTTTTATCTAACACATTTTACCACTATTTACTGTTTAGTTTGTCATCCCCTTAACTTTCCCCAGAAAGAATGAAATAAAAAAAACCTTAACATATACCTTCAACAACTTGGAAATAGGTATATACACACCTGTTTTAGGATATGACAACTACCATTTGAGAACTTTTATGCTGCAGGTTTTACCTAGAGAAGTCTAAAACACCCTCTTAAAAACAACCAGACACCATCCCCTTTGAAATGCCTGTTCACTGACAAATATAACTTCATTCCCTCTAAATATTGCAGAAGTTACCAAAATGTTAAAAGTTACTTACGGTTTTCCCCCAGGAATCCCTGCTAGATTTGGAGGGATTCCAGGTACTCTCATGTGAGGAGGAGGATCAAACCCAACCTGACAACAAAAAGTGAATTCATCTTACACTTGGAATTTCTCATCCATTTCTCAGCAAGTCTCTTTTCTCCACTCCCAAGACACTCTGCATTTAACCAAAAGGTGAATTTTACCCACAGTATCAGACAACTGCATGACCCTCCACTGGGGGGCAAAACCCAGACCTTTTCCCTGAGCATTCTTTTGAAAGAAGCACTCATACAAAAGCAGAAAATAATTTATCATGCACTCACACACTGAGCATTACCCAGCAGTCCGGGTTAGCAGGGAGAGTCCTGTGTTGGCCCTAGAATCAGAGTCCATGTCAGCAACAAGCTATGCCAGTGCTTTTCACTCCTGGGAGAGCTAGCACGTACTCAGGCTGGCACAGTGAGGTGCTGGAAAGTAGCTCTGGGCCCCAGCTAGCATCTCAATGCCTCCACAGCATTCTGTGTGGGCACAGCAGCTGAGAGATCTCTCAGACACATTGTGGGGTGCAAACAAGCTCATCCACAGCTTAAAAAAAAACAACATTCTCTTTACATACTGCAATTTCACTGAATTTTTATATCTTGAGTATGTTTATCAAATAATCCAAGCAGAAAAAGTTGACCAAAAAGTCTTAGTTTTTCTTCTGAACGTTATACTTGAATAAACATTGTTATTGCTTTAAAAGGAGGGTGTAAGCTATTTAAAATTTGAACATTTTCACACAAAAGCCCTGTTTACCAGTTTGAAAAAACTGGTCATAGAAACAGTAATGGGAAGTTGACAAGCATAAATCCAACTTTGCAAATTTACAAGTAGGTAAGTTTATGGCAGCTTTCTGCATAGACAAAACTCATGTTTAGCGAGTCAGGACCCTAGGTTATTCTGTGTGACAGCCACTATAACCACCAGGTTCCATTTACTTACTACACCCACAACTGCAACTATTCTTAACACACCTGATCTCAGAGCTCCAAAATAGGTACTGACCAATTTCTCAGGTTGATTTCCACAAAAAAACCCAAAAAAAACAGGTACAGAGACCCAGATAAAAAAAAAACTTTTACATGCTTCAAGATTAATCTGTTATGTCTATATGGAATACAAACGTGGTTCAGCAACCAAAAAGCAAATGTCCACAGCTATAGTGAAATACTTTGTGTGTACCAAAACTACTTTTTCATTTACAGCAGCACAAAAAAATTTTTTGGCCTTTATTTATCAGTTAAAGCCCTGATGAAGGTGAAGGACAAAGAAAACATCCACTAATACACTGAAATTCTTTGCTTTCAAGGTGCAAATTTGTTTCTTCAGCCACACAGCAAAGTGAAGCATGCAGTGAAGCACGCAGTGAAGCTGTCAAGCCTCTGGCACTGTTATGAGTTGGGAATTCTGCAGTGGTAAATGAAGCATGCGGCTTTTCTCAGTGAACCGCAACTCACAGGACTGAGATTGCATGCAACGTATGGCCTACCATAGGAGATCTTCCATAGGCAACCACAGCAGCTGCAGCAGCAGCAGCACTCATCTGGGGTGACATATTGTGCAGACTGGCATAGGCTGCCCCTGGACTGGTTAACTCTCCATTCATGCCAGCGTGAGGTACCATTCCAAACGGAGCAGGGTACGGTCCTGGTACTGCCAACGGGGTCCGCAAACCTGCAGCTACAGAATCATGAAATTAAGTGGGTTTATTTATGTATTCCTGCATACAGGAAAGAAGCCCCTTTTTCTCCCTCCTAAAACACCTCGCCTTCCCCCCTCACACGCTGTCAAGAAACATTGCCATAATTTGTCAGTACCACCAGCTCTTTTCAGTGTAAATAAGATCTACTGAAGTCTGAACTTGCTGATTACTTCTAGCAATCTCTTCTAGCATTACCTATTTCCATTTCTGTAATATTCCCCTGTTTACATTAATCTCTTCTTTGCCAAATTAAGCAGTAAAGCTGACAGACATGGTTTACACAGCTCATGTCTGAAGCAACTGTGTGTACCAGCCTGAATAGCAAAAGTAAACTTCCCCCGGCATTTGTCAAGCTGTGCACTGCAGCAAATATTAGTAGATTCAGACAAAGACTGTAGAAGAGATTGCATGCAGAGTAAGTACCAGAAACTTCTGAGAAGTCTTTTTATATTGCACTCAGTCTCTGGATTATTTGCAAAAAAAGATAAAGACAAAAGTAAACAAAGAAGACTAAGACACAGAAAGATATTCAAACTCCTGATAATCCAAACATCTGCTTCTCATCAAGCCCTCTCTTGATATCAAGAACAAAGCAATATATTTAGTTAGCAGTCACATGTGTAAAAAAAAGATTAATTCTGAAACCATAAAAAACCATGAGGTAATGCATTTACCAGCTTGGTTAACCAGAGGGTCCATTGTTGGAGGTTTGCCAAGGCCTGGACGGAGTCCTGGAGTTGCACTAGTGCCTGGGGTTGGCACATCACCTCGAGGAGTTGGTGTGCTGGATTTCAGAACAGGCGTGCTGGCTTTTTCATGCTGGTATCATTAAACAAATTAAATGAGTATTATTTTTAATCCAGGCCATATTATACAATTTATCACAACAGCAGCTGGGATGCTGGGCACCTACTACCTAGTCCCTCAGCCAATTTTCATAAATCCACACAATGCTGACAACATTAACTCGTGAGAGAGAAATGTTGACCTTTTTGATTGCTGCCAAAATTAAAATAAGAAACGTAGAAAGTTATTTTCCCTCCTCTACTGACATATAAAAAGGAATGCCTGAGCTAATTTTTTTCTTCAGGAAAACACAGTATGCATTATCAAACCACTTTAGTTTGAAATCATTAATATCTCAATTATAATTTGACACAGAAAATATAACTGCAAAAACCAAAATACCACCAAAATATAGTTGAGAGTATAAAAAAAAAACATGACAGAGAGAATCAGATCAAATTATTAGGGATACTACAAGAAAAAGTCTCCAAGGAATAACAGCCTATTTAGAAGAGCTTAACAAAAAAGTCTGAAGAACTTCTTAGTGATTTTTACATGCCATGGTGGTTTTACATGCCATGTAAAACCACAAGTTATTGCTTCCAAAAAAACCACCAAGCCAATGCTTAAGCAACTCTTGCTCCTTGTAATAAATTTGCAACTAATTTGACAGAAATGTAGGAAATAGAAGAAATCAAAACAAGGCAGAAAATACTGCTGAGGAAGAAAGCTCAATACTACTTTAAAGATCTGGAAAAAACAGTAGGCAATTGCAGCCTCAAATGTTCAATGAGGGGTAATTTGTGCCACAAGTAGTTGCAGAAAAGTGGAGAGTCAGATTTTACAAGAAAGACGACTAGCTGGACCACTAACTGCTACCTACCAGACCCATTTCCTTGGATTTGAGGGAAGTGGAACTTCCTGAAGAAGCTGTAGATGCTGGGCTGCTGGAGGCATCCTTCTTCAGCAGGCGGGCTTTATCGATACCGTTTTCACGGGGTGAATGAGTGGGACTTGCCCTTGGGGAAGAAGGATCCTAGAAACAATGGGAAGGGAAGAACAGCATAGAACTGTGTCATAAACTGGTATACAAACACCACTAAGGAGTCTATGGGAGCAAAAAAAAACAAAAAACCCCCACCAAATTAGAAGAATTTAAACAGTAAGTGCAAATGACAAGATGTTTTGTTATCTTTGTAGAAAAAAAACTGAAATCCCTTCATCAACCTAGAGAAGTACATGAAGTCATATAATAAGCAATCTGTTTTTATTGTACACTACATATAATCATAAATTGTTTTCAAGCACAGAGCTTGCAAAGCATACCTAAGTACAAACTAAAGAAAGTGCAGCAAGAGTAAGGAAGAGTAAGGAGTAAGGAAGAGTAAGAGTAAGAGTAAGACTAAGAGTAAGGAAGACCAACAGAAACTGCAGTAACTTGACACAGTTTTTATCATGTATGTTCTCCATGCTCTGCTAGTTGCAATAAATATTTCAAAAATATCTTACAGGTGATAAAAACCTTGCTTATCTCTACCTTCAGAAGAAGAGGCAGACTCATGCCTTCACAGATTTCACAGAGTATTTTGAGTTGGAAGAGACCCACAAGGATCATTGAGTCCAGCTCTTAAGTGGAATGGCTCATACAGGGATCTTTATACGCCATAATAGCTGCCACATTTTTGCTAAACACCATATGTAATTGCCTTGCCACTTACATCTAGAGAAAAACTGAAATCACCTCTCAGGTGATTATTTTTCTCTGTTCCAGAGGCACTCTCTGCATTTACTTTAACTTGAAATAGCCAGCCCCATGAGTTACAATGCTATCAGAGCTCTGCAGGTTCTCCACGCTCCTCTGGCTCATAAGAATAGCACCAGGGAGAAATCACACCTCACAAAAGGGCTATAAGTCTACTGACTGATTATTAAGCAGTTTCATTGTAAGCCGACCTTCTGAAAGGATTACTAAAATCACTAGTTGGACACCCATTTTGCTACTTGGCTGACATTGTTTGGGCACCTTGGGCTGCTGAGGGCACTTCTCTCCCTACCAGCTTCTCTTCGTTTCACAGACCTGAAGAATCTCACTACCATATTCAGGCTTCCTAAATCTGTGTGCTATAGGAAATAAAAGATGAAGAAAAGGGGGCACCCATCCCTTTACTTTGATGCCATTACCAAATCTCAGCCCTGGAGAAAAAAAAAAGTATCTATAATCCTGTAAAAGTGTCTACAATCTTGTAAAATAACTTCATTCTAGAAAAACAGCATTTATGGCAAATGTCTTTAACACAGGAGATTAAAATACAAGCAATTTTTAAGGTAATTTTTAAAATAACATCCCTACTATGAAATACAACATTAGATAATGTCTTCCTTCCTTTTTCATTCAAAGACAGGAGTTTGAAAACGTCAGCCTTCCACATGCAGCTCACCACAACCCTCTACACTACAGGGCAGCTGTCAAGTGTCAGAATGTTAACTGCAGAAAGAGAAGACCTGGACAAAGCAGCAGAAGAAAAATCTGAGAAGGCAATCAGATAAATCTGAGAGGAAGACATAGTACTAATAAAAATGAGAAGTTGTGAATATTTTAACATATCCACAGAGGATTATTTTTCTTCTAACAACTAAATGTACTTTTCCTTTCACCTTTGGGCAAACGTCAAGACTACAAAAATGAAAAAAGTTACCTCATTGGATACATCTACAACCAAGTTATCGTCACTCTTGTCCCCATCACTGTCCTATTAAAAATAAATAAATTTAGTGTTCATTTAAATTAGTACAATAAGAGCCCAGACAGAAAAACTATACATCTACTCAGACATTTTTTGTTTTTCCTAAATAAAAAACAAACAGCCTGTCATTAAGTTATTAGCAGCAGGGACAATAATTAAAAAAGAAATACAACACCTTATTTCTGCTATAATAGTAAAACCCAAGTAAGGTAGAACTAGTTGAAGAATGGGGATCTCCTCATCAGTCAGCAAGATGGTCCAAAACCCATCCTTCAATACCACCATAAACAGTGTTATCACTTCTCCTAAAAGAGAAAGGTACTCTGTTCATACACTAAACTTGTGTTAATTTGGAGAAAGTACTGTTTGTGCATACCTGGAAAAACACCAAAAAAAGGATGTCAGGAAAATAGAGCTTTTTGCCATGTTTGATGAATCATCTTTCCTAAAGTGATAGTACCATTTTCCCCCTTTTACAGAAAGGCAAGTTTTGAAATCAAAAGTTCTGGGAAGAAAAAACTTTAGAAATGCCAAGGAATTTCAACATTTCTGCCCAAGAAAAGCAAACCGTGGATGTTCCTAAACAGAAATGTTCTACTGCAGCTTGTCAAACTGCATTTTGACTGTTTCACTTAGACTGATGTTCACCTGAGCTGGTCTACTAATGACTGCTGTCACTGTAGTGCCTCCTGGTCCCTTGCTCCAACAGGGTCCAGGATGCCCCAGCAGACACATTCAGACACGGAGGTCTAGTGATTTCCACAGCACCCCAGAGTGTTTCAATCAGAAGGCAAGTCCTGACTCAAAATCAAACAAAGAAATGAAGTGAATGTCAAAACTTTAAATTTTTGTGGGAAGAAGCTTGACATTTCCAATAAAAGTACTTTTAGTTAAAAAGCTTCTACACAAACAAACCAGACATACAAGATTGCTCAACTATCCTCCATCTCTTGCTTTCAAAGTGTCTGAGCTTTCACACATAAAACTAAATACTTTCTCTCACTTCAGGCCACAACCCTTTAAAAAAACAAAACCGAGCCACCCAAAACCAACCAAACAAAAAACCCAAAACCAACCAACCAACCAAAAGAAACACCCACAAAAACTGAACTGAAAAATGCTCCCTAATCAAGAGGTAGTTTCAACCCTTCCCTTCTGTTAACAGCTGAATCTGCCTCCAAGAAATAACATAATAGGGATATTAGGGATCCAACAGCGACAATGGTCATTCTATTTGCAACTCAGGAAGCTATCCAATCAACAGGTGAAAAAAAAAGACTTGGAAGCTTTAGCTCCATTTATCTGCCATCTCCTGAGAAGCATGAAGCACCCAGAGTGCTAGAACAGGTGGGAGAATGTGGGAGAAGGGGCACTGGTTTGCCAGAAATGCCCCTCTGGAGGAGGACAAAAATAGTTGCAAAGCCATGTTTAAGTGAACTCTAGCAACTCAGTCATCTTAAGAAACAGAAACTTCCTGGGACTATCAAAGGCATCTCCAGTAACTTCTACCAATATCAGAAGTCTCCTCACTAATAAATTCATGCAGTGAAACTATATTGGTACTAATATGAAAATTAGTCAAAAGTTAAAAGGGGGAAAAGAATTCACTTTTTATTATTATTCCAAAAGCTACAGGTCCTACAACTCATTTATGTGCCTTTTGACAAAAGCAGTATTTCCTTGTTGCTACAAGGGATAAATCTAAAATGAGCTCAAAATCAGCAGATCTGTATTTGCTTAATTGGTGGGCCTTCCAAAAACACTTATCTTCAAGATTAGAATAAATCTGGAACTTTCCAATATCCTTGGATATTTTTTAACTTGATGCTGCCTTTAGCTGTAAAATCCATGTCAAACAGAGGGCAGAAACATTTAAAATGTGGATTAAAAACTGCTTCTACTGTGCAATAGCATCCTTTACATTTTCTTATGGTAGAAACACAAGAAAAACAAGTAAGTTAAGCTTTTCCTTCCTTTTTTTATATCAAGCATACCTTAAGAATGCTTAATCTCCAAATATTAAAAATGAAAAATGCCAATAGAGTATCAAACCCTTAAAGTTGAGGGAGTAAGATGGGGAAGTTTGCCAAACCCTTCTGTAATCAAAACATTATTATTAGTGGTGGAAATACAACTTGTAAAGCCATTAAGAGCACTAAAATATCTAATAGCTGCTCAAAGACATTATCGAAGTGGAGAGAAATTAAAATTATCCTACCAAATACTGAGAAAATAAAATGGCACCTAATTTTGTCTTGGGTTTCAGTAACCAAGAACTAATTAGTGATCTGAATCACATAAACCAGATAATTTGCCACATTATTGCTGTATTAAAGTGCAGTATGTTCTAATAGATTTGAATTTTGCTTTTCAGTACTCTCTCACACCAGTCCTAGTTTCTTAGGCCGGTTTAAGTACCATCCTGTGTTTTGGCTGAGAATTTAGACTGAAGTCAAAAGCCTGTGTGAACCTTCTGATGCTCACTCACATTGTTGCACTGAAGTGTCTCTTTAAAACCAAGCAACAAGCGAGCTAGTTAAAAATGCAGAACACAAAACTCTGAACTTTCAACATTTCAATTTGCTTTCTGCTGGAATTGCCTTATCAGCCAGAAGTAAAATTCAGTAAGTTGGTACAGCTTGACAGCATATGCAATTTGTAATGGTAATTATAACTCAGCATGGTAATAACTACTTATCATTACAATTTACCAACTCCTCTCAATAACAAAATTCTCCATTTCAAACAAACCTGCAGTTTCTAGAGGAGTCCAGAAAGAATGTCACTCAAACTCTGAGAACTGCCCCAGAGCACAGTGAATCCCAAACAGCTACTCCTATTGAGGACTATTACTTCACAATATCCAAAACTACTGAATCACAACTCTTCCTAAGATTTGGATCTGTGCCTCTCTGGCACATATATTCATGTGCTACTTCATCTATAGGAATGTTACCTTGGTCTTCACAGCTCTTTTACTCCTCATACAAGCACAGTATGTGCAAATAAATTAATCATTTCCTTGACACAGATTTGCTTACATAGTGGCTGGAATCCTTATCATCCACCTTTCTCTTTTTGATGTCATTGGCATATTCAGGGCCATTCCTGCGTTTATCTGTGCTTCGTAGACTGTCGGGGACCAACAGAGAATTACTCTGTAAAGACAAAAACCAAGGTCAATCAAAGATTCCTTTTAGGATTCCTCCATATATTCCTAAAAATTCAAATTGATGTGATACATGTTTTAGAAACGTGATACGTACTTAAGTCTTTTAATTCAATTTAATTCAAAACAAAGTGCTCCAGGCAAACATATACAGCTCGACACATTCTAAGAAGCTTGGCTTTTCATTGTTCAAGTTATCAAAAGTTTAGTTCACTTGTCAGTCACCATCTATTTAGCTAATTAATTCAACTGAATTTATTGTTTAGGAGAAGAAGAAGGCTTGCAGTTTATTCATGAGCAAGTAACAACAATTTAATTATTTTTTTAATGTTCAGATTACATATAATAAAAGGGATTCACTACACAATCCGATTGATCAGTCACTTTTAGAACATCATAAATAGATGAGGCTTTGGTACCTACACCTGCAGGTATGGACAGATAAACAGCAGCTTGCCTTTAATGCCTAAAATAACAAGTATGTGCTGAATAGGGTTATGCAGTAATCAATTGTTAGCTAGAGTTAACTCCAATTTGATTCCTTCAACAAATGGATTGCAAACAAAGATCAAATATTTTTACTTCCAGCATAACATTCACTACTAGTGTGAAATTAAGGCTAAAGTGTTGCTTAATCAGTCTTGATCTGAAAAACCGAGGCCAACACAGGCACACAAAAGACAAAAGCAAAGACTAATCTTTTCCTCAAACTACATGGACTGCTTTCATTCATGCTAAGTTATGCTAAGTACAAACTGTTGACCCAAAGAGCATTTTAGACATTTTTCAGTCACATGACAATTTGATATGCCTGTGATTCCCGATTCCCATCTCCATCTCAGTTCCAGCTAAAGCATTAAAATGTGTTACAATGAGTTCTTTTAAGTGCAGGATTAGCATATGCAAGAGGGCAATTTGTTCACTGATGTGTTAATGCTGTGAACAATACTGAATGGGTTGAGAAAAAAATCTCCTTTCACAAAGACCTGGTAAGCCTAGATCCTAAAAGCCAAGTACATGCTTAGATAAATAAATATAGGCTCACATAAATATATAAGTAAACAGGCGTTTACATCCAGACACGTATCTCTCTCAAGAGAGAAGTCTAATACCAACATGAACTTCGGTGTAAGCCCTCAAAGGACATTTTTAGATCTACCCAAGACACAGATATTTACTTTAATATATCATAAATTTATACAAATAGCCAGTGAACTGTGCACTGAATAGCTTCCCCTTCAAAACCTGAAGACATGAAGATAGTTTTGCTCAGACACAAATGTTTAGCCCCAAGGAGAAGGACAAGGAAACAGGGTACATAAGGCAATCTGAATCCTCTTTTTCCTAATTCAGAAGCTGCACTTTAAAGCCAACTCTAAGCTCTTTTATTCATGACTATTCAAGCTAAACAAATGCCAAAGGGCTTACATAAAGCATATAGGAGGGTCTATTGAAATTCAGTATAAAGAAGCTCAAAATAATGTCTTTACCGAAATGTTTTGTGGCTAAAAGGTGGGCTTGTTGGATCATTGAACTAATTGCCTTGACAAATACATTCGGAATTTAACCCCTTATCTCCTCCCAGATGCACACAAACTCAGGGATTCACTAGTCTGAAAACCATTAAAACTAATTTTCAACATTTTAATGTTAAATCCATCATGCTTGTGGCAGTAGAAGCATCTCAAGAAGCAGCAGAAACACCTTAAGAAGTAAGATGTCAGTTAAAACTTGACCAGAAGGTATTTTCCTCTTAAGGAAGAAAGTCTTTTGGTTAAGAGATACTTTCCTTAATAAAAATAACTAAAAATTTCTATTTTTCTACTGAAGAATTGAGATTAAAATAATTAAAGCAAATGCAGTAAAGAGAAAAAAAGTCAGCTCCTCACTTTAAAAAAAATGTATGAATAGCAGAAAGGTGGCAAAGAGGCAACACTTGAAAAAATTTAGCAAGCTTGCTATTTGGAGTTACAGCTTGCAAAATGTGACAACCTATAGGCATAATTACTATAGCTGATTTTTTTGTCTTTTTAAATTTACTCAACCTAAACAATGCTGACAATATTTTATACTGTTTGTCTTGTAGAATTTCAAAACTGTGAAATATAACATAGGAAATGCCAGTTCCCACTGGGTCCTAAACACCAAACAAAGATTATTAGATTTGTTTTTTCTCCAAAAGACTGGTTTCTCACACTAGCATATAATTACATCACAAGCTTATTCTGCAAAACATATCCTCTATGGTCATACTCACACCACTTTTCTATAACTTACCACATTAATTTAAACCACTGTTCTCTGTGATCAGAGCATCCATGCTAGGAAGCTGCTGTAGAGCAGCTCATTTCTCAGCAGCTACATCAGAAATTGCAAATAAGATTGTGCTCTTTTTATGGCAAAATCTATGAGTAAACTCAAAAATTAAAAAGTTCCTGCTTTGTTTACCACAGAAGTTCAAGAAAGTTCTAACAACTTTGACTAAAACCAGGTAAAAAAAACCAGCTTGCTACTGTAAACTACTACCATAATTCAAACTACCAAATAGGTAAGATTTCATTCAACAATGTGAAAATATGAATATTTTACAATAGTGCAAATAGTAAATCCAGAACACCTGAAGAACAAATTAAATAAATGAAAATACAAGAACTGGTAAAGAGATGATCATATATGCCTTAGGCTATTAATATCTCTTACCTTTGTAATGATAAGGTTCAGAGAACAGTGAGAACATACTAAAAGCCACCTTTCCTCATTTTATCTCTGGTAGACTTTATACTTGCTGTACACCCACTGTCAAACAGGGCCGGCCAGAAGGCAGCAGCAACAGCCTCACAACATTAGAGTTTCCTTATTTTCTCTTTTGAAGAGTGATCGGTTTAGTTCTCCTAACTAGGTCTACAAACAACTGACTTATTTTCAAAAACGGGACAAGAATTCTTAATTTGGTTGTAATTTTTTTAAAATAACTCTGCAGAAATTTTCAGCTGGGATAGCTCTTCAATAATGATTGAGCAAAAAGGGCAATAATGTGTATGTATGTATATATATATATATACACACACACACCCATGCAGTTTATATCCTGAAGAGAAACTGCATAGCATCAAATTTTATTTTGTCTTAATTTCAACAGATTACATACATGACTGAGGATACTCCTTTCATACTTGAGAGTTCAGTTCATTAAGGATTACCAATGCAACATTTACAAATCATGAAGCTCAGATCAGAGGAAGTGGTCAAAATTAGTTCCATGTGTTTTCCTATCAGAATTACCAGACTGTATAAACGCTGTACAACAGGCAACTTGTGATCCGGAAGCAACTCTGCGGCCACCAAAAGTTAAATACTGAAACCACCAGAAGGCAAATGCGAAACAAAAACCTGGTCCTGATGCACAGTAAGAATGTAGGCTCCCTACTAGGAATATAATGCACTTTATTCAAATGCATCTCTTTGACTGCCACATTGCTCCCCACAGGAATCACTTCCCAACCTCAACTGGGCCAGAGGTGCAGGCTGAGAGCACCTCATTTATCCCATTACCCCACTTATGACACAGCACAGACAATTCATACAGAATAGCACATGCAGAACTGACAACTGACTTTATGCTGATCATTACATCAATTAAATAACAGTATTTACATTACATCTGTGCAGATGGTTCAACTGCACTTGGTCCCAATTAAGATGTTCTCTAGTGCTGGGCTCCTTAGTCCTCTCGCTCCCTTTTCCCCAAAGATGTGTGATGGCTTGCTCTGTGCTTGGCCATTCCCTGCCTCGCTGTACATCCCTCAGCCATCACAGCCAGTTACCACAGCTAACAACTTGGGCTTGCCTGCTGTGCTCAGTAGAGCCTCTGTGTTTATTTTATTTAACCACGCATGGGACCTCTGCCCTGCCACTGCACCACACACCAGTGCTATCTACAGATATGCACAAGTGGACAGGAACAGGTACAATTCCTTGCTGAGTAGGCAAAACAGGATCAAGTCTAACAACTACACCCAAAACACCAGTTGCTCCTTGTTAGGACTCACTGACAGGAATAGAGTAGATGCTGGAAGATGGACTTTAATATCCCCCAGACAGGCAAAAGAAGATTGCACTCAAAGCTATTCTGTTCCAGAATTACCAACTTCAATTTGTTCAATATGCTTACTGCAAACACACATGTCAAAAACCCAAAACCTGACTTAGGAAGTCAGTAAGTTTTGTGTCAAATTACTCCTGATGGAAAGCTACTTGACCTCTCCTTTTTTTCAAGTACCACTTTAATTTATATTGAGTTCACAATCAGAAGACATTAACAAAGAATAAGTTGATTTCAGTATTTTCGAGGTATTGTTTGTCAAAATCAAGGTATCCATAAAAACTTTTACCAGACCATCTCAAACCCATTGCCCTTTGTCATCAACCTTATGCTGCCTTCTATCAGCTACAAACTAAACTGCAACTGCTCTAGCAACCCACAGCTCTTATATATCAGCAATCCCTGGAGCCATTCTTTCTTCAAAAAGTCCAAGAAACATACCTGTGGTATGCTGATCAGTACCATAGACTTCCATATAACAACTTTTATGAATTTCTTTCCCCCATTGAAAGAATTAAAACACAAAACAAAACCCAAAAAATTGCACATAATATCTTCAATGAAGTAGCACTCAGTTGTTTATGCCCAACTTCTCCAAGACTGGGAGATGAAGAACAGGATACAGAGCTCAGGGCATAGAATATTTTTCAACTGTAGGAAAAGAGCATTTGCTTTACAAAACAATAGCAATAATTACACTTAACAATGAAGGCAAAAAATATCTGGGAAAATTTATGAATACTTCCTAGGCCTTAGAAAATAAGCTCAGTATTTTTCATGAGGACAAAAGACAACTACCAACTAATGTAAACCCTAAGCACACAATGAAGTAAGATTTCACTGTCTGAAAATTACTACTGTTACAACAGAGTGCATCAAAACATTTGCATTTCTGTGCTGTCCAAACAGGATACTAGACTAGTGGGAGGACAAGCGATAAATGAAAACGTACAATGAGTTTCAAAACTGCTGCAAGCACGTTTCCTAGAGAAAAAAATGTGGATATCAAAGTTCTTTTATATTGGTATCTCCCAAAGCTTTCAGATTCAGTTGCAAAACTTGCTTCCTTTGTCTGGCTTCACTACCTGCAGCCAGAATTTGCCACATTAGAAGGGACACCTGCATTTGCACAATAACACGACCCATTTTGGGACAGTTAAGAGATAAATCAGTCAAAACCCACCAGCCATTACCCATCTAGGCATGTAATTTAAACCTGACAACACAGTTTTAGCATTCATGTAGGAAGTATGCTATTATTACTAACTTATATGTTACTCATTACACAAATGAGTGAGATGTACCAAAAAACTTTTCTTCATTTTACTTTCTGGAACTTGAGCTAATATATACAAGAAAAATGTCACGCTAATTTAGATATAACAAAAGTAGTTAAACTGGTCAAAATAAAAAATTATGAAACCATGTCTGTATATTAATTTATAAATACAAGAATGTCACTCATTTTGGTGTATTTCTACATATACAATACATAAAAGCTCATTACTGCTTATCTAAGGAGACTTTAAAAAATAAATCCACATCTAATTTAAAAACTAATATGCTCCAATCTGTCAGAGTGCACTTTAACCCAAAGATATGTCAGAAAAACCTCAATTTAAAACCCCATAGACAGGCGCTAAATTTTAACTTTTTGAGCTGACATTTCCAGCTTTTAGCTTTTACTGATAGTGCTTGAAGGTCATGCTAAACATACTCGATGGAAATCATACTGTAGAACTGCACAGTAGCAGCAAACATCATGGTGGATATAGGTAACTTACAAACTGCCTGGGGTTTGGTGGCTTGGATGATGAAAGCATCCCTGTCAGGATTTTTAGCAGCACCATTACTTTTAAAATGCTGTTCTGAAAATCAAATTGATTTTATCTTGATGACCCAAATGTAATAAAGTGATTTCAACCACACAAAACAACCAAACAAACCTGTTGCTATCCCTTGTGAACTTGGAACCCATATTCTATTATCCTTAAAACCATATTTTACATTAAAAGAAAATTCCATTAAAAATGTAAGAGAATTAGAGAAGCTTGAAGAGTCCATAATTCCTAGCTGATCATTTTAGTCATAGAGTTGAACTTAACTATCTCTTGAGTTATTCTTTCATTGAAGGTGTCCTTTACTGCTAAGATTTTGATGTAACAATGTATTTAAGCAATTTTAAGTTCAAGTTCACCTGTATTCAGCTACTAAAGTTTAAGTTAGCCATGCAGTATTATCCTGCACTGAGGACAAAAAGAAACTAGAATGACCATAGTGTAGTATCCAAAACTCAGTGTATCCACATGGCAAAATTCCTTTATGATATAAAGACTCAGATTATTTAAAAGTTAATTACTGATAAACCAACATAAAAACACCCTGCTTCAGGTAATAAGCAAGCAATCATCAGTTAGACATATGGATACAGAAGCAACTGCAGCAACAATTTTACATAGTTTAAGTAAAATTTACATCTATAGTAAACTAAGCTAGTGATCCTGCAACTCTCCCACAACCCAAAAGTGAGGTTTAATTTTTGATAGTTTTCCTTCCAGAGGCAAAAACTACTCTCAGCTACAAGATTAAGTCAGAGTCCAAATTCACAATGCTAAGAACCTGACTTGAAATTCAAACCCTCGATCAAGACTACTTAAAATTAAAATTAATTAAACCAAATTGCATGATGGACAGGGCAGGAAGCTGGGACCAGGGAAAGGACATGAAACATATCAAATCAAAACACAGAGCCACCACTAGCTGGGGATTCCCGCAGTCAACTAACAGCACTCAAAGAAGTATGTCCCACACTGAGCAAAAAGCCCTGAATAAGTCAGAGACTTAATAAAAACCCAGCTTAAAATTATTTCTGCAGATACACTGTCATTAATAACATTAAGCAAGCTGAAATGAATGCTTCTTGCTTAGTAATCTAAAACTAAAAGATTGCTGCAAAAGATATGCACATAGTTTCCAGTAAATAATTGTCAAGCAATTATTTACTGGAAATAATTTTTGTATATATTAAATAAGCAGCAATAAAAGTCAGAAATTTAGTACTACACAACTACCTGTCAAATAATTTTTCCTAGTTCTTGTCTTTTGTAATTGAGAAAAGGAATGAAATAGAGCCCAAATTCACCTCTGACATAAACAAACAGAATGAGCTTTGTTACTTGAATTAAGTTGCACATGACCATCTCTAACAGATTAATACAGCAATATCACTTAAAACAAAACAGCATGAAAAGCAGCAAATAGTTCTTTAGAGGGATTTTCAGAGAAGGCCAAATCTATTGCAGCCTCTGTCTACAGGGAAAAAAGTATCACTGTAGGAGTTATACCTGAAGCATAAATTAAGCAGCAGTGACATTAGTATGGCTTCAACATATGCAGTTAAAAAAACCTAGGGCCAAACACCATCATGACACATTTAAAATTCTCACAATTGAATTTCTGACCTGTTCTCCAACTCTAATTCCTGAAAATCCTAGAGACTGAAAATCTCAACTCTGGACTAAAAATGCTGTATTTGCAACGTCCTTTTTTATTTGCAGCTTTGTGCCCCCTTTCTGCCTTCAACAAGCAAACTAAAGTTCAAGTTTCCCTAAAAGCATTCTGCTCAGAAACAAGACTCCTTCGTACAGTCCATCAAACAGATGATCTGGGGTCCCGCATAAACCAAGACATATCTTAACAGAAAACACATACACCTTGTATCATGAAAATAACTAAAAGGAAGACAAAACAGACAAACAGCACATCATCTGATTATCACATTATTGGAAATGGAAACATTAGCAGGAACGTTGGTACTTACTGTGCCTGGCTCTCTGTCTGCTCCCGCAGTAACCAAGAAATGGACAGACATGCCCGTTCAGACACAGAGGCAAGAACAGAAATAAAAAAGGGGGGAAAAAATTAGAACACAAGCCACAAACAGTTTTAAAATGGCTTTTATTTATATAAGTCATTGCACATTCCTAATACAGTGATTTCCTGAAAATTACAGTATTTTGTAAACATGATTTACAGTTTAACCATACACAAAGCCTAGTTTTATTTCATGACAGAATAAATTATTTTCTTTTCAAAAATTAGTCAAGTGCAATTTTGCCCAATATTTAACTGAGTACTAGAATTTAAGCTTATGAAACTAAAGTAACAGATGCAATTATCTAAATCCTTTGTTTGAACACATTCACTTCAAAATTTAACTTCTTGTTCCCCCTACCTTCCCACCCACCCACTTAACAACATTACTTTGTTTGAAAAAAATCACCATTATGCAGTTTAACAATTTTCCACAATATGGTGCAGGCCACTGCTATTACAACTAAGCATTTACCAGGATGTCAAAAGGCCCTGCAAAGTATAGAGCAGGTGACACCTAGTGATCCCCTTTAAAATACTGAAAAATTCCAAGTTGAATTTTTCTTCAGTGGTTTATATGCAGACATTTTAAAGTTTGCCAACAGTTTTTTTTTCGTTCTATATAACATGAATTCTTTAGAGATGCATATATTTTGCAGCAATGCGCAAATTTGACAAATGTCCTAATCAGGCCTGCCATGCCTCTCACCTCTGTGGTGGTCTGCATCGTGATGCTTCTTGTCATCTTTTATTGCCAAGTGAGACTGCCCACCCAAAGCACTGGAGAGCGCAAGAAGGCCAGCACTGCTTCCAAGTGGAGGGATTCCTGGAGGCTGAAGTCCTGATGGATGCGGTGTTAGAGGCACTGGAGGTCCGTGGCCATGGGAGAGATGCTGAGCCTGCAACTGCTGCTGCTGTTCCCAGTGGTATCATCATCCCCAGAAGAACAACGTACAGCAGACAGTTTGGGAAGGATAAGGCAGAAGTTTGGTTAATTATTGAGAATCTATAGTGAATTTTGACAATTATTTGTTTCCTCTTAGTCTAGCCCCTCCCCTTTAACCCACCGCACTATATAAGTGCATTGTATCATGCTGTCTGAGGACAACTCTGCTCATATCCTAGAAAAACTTATTTTGCAGCCTGATGCATAAGTTCAGCAATTATGGGTTGTTTTGGGCAGCTACTGCCTGCCCCAGCATTTCTGTTAAGTTCAGAACAGCAGCAGAAGAATCAAACACCTTTCCCTTTCCAGAGAAAGCCGTATCACTGCTCTGAAAAAAAAAGTTCCAGCAGCAAGATTGGTTTAAACTCACATCCCTCTCTTTCCCCAGTTTGGAAGCAGCAAGTACCTTTCCATCCTAAATATTAAAGAATGTAAAAGATACAATGAACTCCATATTTAGGTAAAGTTTCATTTGTATTTTATTCTAACCAAGGTTTTTAAGGGAAAGAGGGGAAATTATTCATGACTTAATGCTCTGTTGAGGAGCCAGCTTTGAGCTGAAAATCCAGGTATTTTAGATAGCATGGAATTCTCAACAAGAAACATGGTATTAATGAATACATCCACCTCCTTTAAAAGGAGTTTGCAAGATCAAAATCATAACGAGTGGACACATTAACCCTGTAACCAATCAGCTAAAATAATCCGTAAGTAATTTTAGAAACAGAGTTTTTCTGTTAGAATGTCTTCCCCATAGTTTAAATATTAAGATATTTTCTAGTTAAAGCTTCCATGGTTTTATTAATGTTTACCAAGTTCAGCTATCCATTTAATTTGCCTAAAATGCTTAGCACAGTTTTTTTTTTTTTTAGAAAATGAAGCTTCAAAAACACCTTTAGCTTAGTCATAGCTCCCATAATCTGCTCCAGGTTAACAGGTATTCTGCCTCTCTCTCCTGCTTCCTTGTGTCTGGACATGTGAATAGAAGACAGAACAATCCTCTCCACCTTGGTCACTCTCCCTCTGCTCAAGGCAGACACCAGGAAAAAGCTAGAGTGCCATCCAATTCACGGGATGGAAAAGGAGACAAATAAACATATGTCTGAACAGGATGAACTCAAGTCTGACCAGGTGAATGCTAGTGGTCCTGCAGCAGCATGTAAAATTTTTACATGTACTGCTGGTAGCTACTGAAATCGTTCCTGGACTGCAGTTTACAATATCTCACGCATCACACCAAAAAAACCTCAACTCAAAATAATGCAGCAATATTTAATCTGTTTCTTTACGTGTGAAGTCTTTTCAAGACAACCAGTCAACAATACCTGTATAACATCTACCGGCATATGAATGAATTTATTTATCACTATTTATATATATTACTACTGAACTCCTACACTTTTACTTCTCACAACCCCATCTCAAGACATGCCTTGAGCTGTTTATAAAATTATGCAGACACAGGGGCTGACATTCAAGAACTCTACACTGCACTTGCTCATTTTTCACTTTTCTGCTGTCCTAACTGTCATGCATTTACTTATTTTAAATTACAAGACAATCTTTAATTGTCTTGTAATTTCTAAATTACAATAAAGATTGTAATCTCTAAATTTCAATCTTTAAATTTACCACAATCCATTAAGTCAATTCTGTAAAGCCACATATTTATCAAATCTTTCTCACACACATATCAGGAATTTATTTTTGAATGCTGCATAAAAAGCCATGCTAGTATACACTTCAAAACATACATCTGATCATCACCCTTTTCAGTTTGTTTGGAAAACAAGGTAAAAGAGAACTTATTATTTTTCTTCTAATTTAATGAGTTTACAAAAGGCAACATTTTGAAGGAAGCATTAGGAACTATTTTGATTTTAAAGTAGTTAACACAGTAGACCACTTTCTACAATATCAACCAGTTTTTGCTAGTAAAGCTTCACTTAAGTGAAGAACTATCAGTAAGGAGCACTATAAGGTCTGACAGGTCTGCAGAGGTTTGGTTTGGGGGTTTTGCCTGTTTTTTGAATCCAGCCTCTAAAGAGCAATATGACATCCCTCTCCACACTGACTTTAATAAGACTTCAGTAGTTTCCAGCACATTTCCTCAAAATGGGTGATAACCTGATATTTTGGCTGTCTCTCTCAGAGATGGTAACTTAGTCACCTCCTTCCTCACGGACCGCTTCAGCCACGTCAGTCATCTGCACTCTAGCTCTGAGGCAACTTCAATGAGCAGTACTGTGCAGCATTGCTGGCATCAGTCTTACTTGTCCCCTGCTGCACTATCACCCCACATTACCTAGTTTTAAGGGCAACTGCCTAAAAATAAAAACTGATTTATTCCTTCCAAATTCGTTTCATGGCAAAAAGGCTCCTCCCTTCTCCGGCAATAAACCCAAACTAGCTTCTTTTGCAGAGTGACCATGGGAAGGTTGAAACCTGGAACAGGAGTTAAATTGTTTCCATTTTTGCCCCTACTATTTGGGAAGTGTAGGAGGATAACCCTTATTCATCTCTATCCTGCTTGGTTTAATTAGCAAACAAGTTAACACACTTGATTTCAAGAAGCACAAGTTAACATTTTAAGAAATGTCAGGAGCACGTTACCTGCTATTTCTCTGGCTCTGGTTTGTAGCCTACATACCACACATTATGAAAGTCTGAGAAATGAGGAACAGATAAATGCTCTGTAAGAGGCTCTGAAGGTGAGAGTGGAAGGGTTGGGTCCTGTGCTCTCTGGTGGTGCTGCACACAGACAGTGGGGAACAATGGGCAAGGTGTGGTGTGAGAGCTGCAAGTGCATTGCAAAGCTGCCCTGCACATTTTTGTACCTTTGCAAATGTTTAGTTACAGGCATGGTACACAAAGATCTGTAAATATGGCACTACATGAAACTGACTTATAATTGAAATCCTGATCATGGTCTTTTAAGCCACCAATGTTATATCATGATTTCATGTTTATTATCTGATGTTCATCGCTGTTCAGGGCTTCAATACACTGATTTATTGCTTATGTGTTATTTATTCATAACAGGTTTCAAGTTCTCCCTAAGAGATGAAGGATCATTCATAAAGAATGATCCAGAAATTTCTTTCCAGAAATTCATATTATTTTTATTTAAAAAAACCTTAATTTTTAAAAGCACACTGTATTATCTTTGTAGAAGGGATAAAAGGAATATGTGCTGCACACAAAGGAAAAAAAATAAAGAATCGGGAGAGGGATAATAGCAATGTTCACCAGATGCATTTAGTAACTAAACATTTGCCATAGTAGATCCTACAAATAATTATGTTATGCATATAATCACTTTCCCATCACTTCAAAGACACTAATGCCTGCTCTGTAACCTTTTAAGAGCTTAGCAGCAGTGAGATATAAAACGGAGTAGGCTGGCAGCAGTATCATGGTCTACTAGGCATGTTCATTAGCAGTTAATTAAAAACTAGACATCTGCCATAAGAAATGTGCTCAAAAAAGGATGAGTAACAGGTCTGTCTTAGTACCAATTATTATCATTACTTGCAGAGCAAAGGCTGTGTCCACTTTCAGAGGAAAGTGGGAAGGTAGAGAAGAGTGCAATGATGCATACTTAAGTGACTGCACTTAAGATAATTAGCCACAGCAGTGATTTTAAAAATATCTGTAGTTCACCCACCACTTTGTTACAAACCTAGAAGCTCTTCATATTTGGAAAGGGAGAAAAGGAATTACAAACTCATATTACTGTACTGTTTAGATGTAGGTTCTATTGCCTCAGTTTTTTATTTCCCAGTGTCTCCATAACTAAACCGTACAGATCGAAACTTGGCATATAAAAAACAGCATTGCTGTCCCTGAGCAAGCACCTCCTAACAATTTTAAAGGTAGTACAGCTTTTTATCTCCCACATTTTTGGCGAAGTCCAACTATGAAGAGATCTTTAATCAAGACTTAAAATGCGAAATTAGGTTTTCAATCTCCAACAAAGACTTCCAAAGACAGAGTTAGTATGTCTTTGTGAAACAGAGCTCCTATAATTAAACAGTGATAGGTCTCCCGTAGGCTCCTTGCTCATAAAAGACAGAAAACAAGCTCTTACAATCCTACTCCTCACCTTAAAGCAGCTCTGGTGAGGTCTCAAACACCTGATTTTACTTTGACACCTTTTTCACTTAAATATATGGTTTTTAATCCTTATCATTAAGTACTTAGAGCATTCTTCTGTTCTTAAACAGATGTATGATGTACTCTTCTGCATCTCTTGAAAAGCACTGAATTAAAAATTCAGATGTTACTGTAAATGAACGGTGGAAAAAAGGTTATGCTTTGTCCCAGACTACAAGAGCTGTCTTCTCTTGGGCTTTTTCTAAATAAACACTTGAAAAACAAACACAGAAAAATGTTTCCAAAATCTTATCAGCACTAGCATCAGTAATACTATCAACAGTTGCCTCCAAGTTCCATAGAGGTGTTCTGAAAAAAATCTGGAAAACACAAGACATTTAGAGATCTAAAACGTAAAGGATGCTATTTCATGTCAACTTTTGTAAAATGGAAGAAATGTGATTTTGTTCAACTCATGCAGACATGAGAAAAAAACACATATTACTGTGTTCAGTTTCATTATCACATTCACTTCCTTTCCAAAGGAGCATCTTCCAGTCTTTCATTCGCTTCCTTGAATTTCTTAAGGAAATGAGTGCCTGCATCAAATATCTGCAGCCACTAAACACAAGAGGGACACTGTCTGAGCACATACAGGTAGTTGATCAAGAATAACCTTTTCCCTTACTGTTTAGAAATATTCTTAAAACCAATATTTCTAATATAACCTTTCAAAAAAGGAAGTAACTCAAGACTATGCTTCTTTCACATCCCATTTTTTCCCTCATCCTAAAAAAAGCCAAAAGCTGTGTATGCACAATCCACTGTATGAACAGTCAAATTTGGCAGGAGGAAACTCAGACACTCTAAGCT